TGACTATGTAAGGCGTAATTTATAGTTGGGTATTATGTAGGTCGCATTTAAAAATAATATTTTCTGATTTTAATTTCTCTACATGATAAGATAAAGTAACCATTTATTTATTTAAGAATAAGAGTCTTTATGATAACTATCGTGAGACACTGTCTGACAGTTACACATGGGTAGTGTGAATGTTTCACCATAATCCATGATGAAAATCTAACTGGTTGAGGTAGGTACCTACTTAATATCTATCAATAGTTTTCAATTTCTAATAAAATATCAGTTGCAGGGTTGATAGATACGTACCTACGAAGTAAATTCAAATACCTAATTTCGTAAAATGTTCAAAATGTTGTGATTCTGATTGTATTATATTATTTAAACATGATCTGTTACTTGATACAAGTGAAGCGAGACGCTATTCCAGTACAGTTAACTTTCACTTCATTGTTCCGCTTCTTTTTGGTCAAATTCTAAGAGTTACCTATAACCACTAAGCGTCAAAAAATCGACACTTCGGCACAATAAAATTTACAGTAACACAACGAATTTGGTAGATAGTTGTACGTATGATCTCGAATCCACGAGTTCAACTGACATAAAAGTTTATGACGTAGGTATTCCGTAGCATTTTGGTGCTACCGGAATTTAGGCAGCCTATACATTCAATGCTATTTAGTAAAAACATGTTTAACTACTGCTTACCTAAGTACTTACTATCTATCTACAATAATCTAAATCTACGTTCTCAACGCTTAGCAAACTGATTTCACTGCCTTTATTTGTTGAAAAAAGTCTATCATGCAGAGTTATAGGTACCAGAAGGTATGCTAGCGAGTGGAATTGATAAGTAGGTGCTACTAATTATACTAAACATTGATTGAAAAGAAAGAAGACTTGTAGGTATGTTCGATTACGTACCTGTCGTACTTAGTCAAAATAGGGAATGAAACTATTAACCCATCCTGTGTCTAGTCGTGAATCCACGCGAGACAATGTATTTTCTATTGTCTCTTATATACTATTGAGCATTACCAAAACAAACAATTCCAATATCTTGATTGTAGATACATGCAAGTTAGGTAGATAACAGCAATCAAACACGAATGTGTACACACGTAAAGGTGGGGTAAACACCACGGTCATCATACCTATAAGTAGGTATCCAGCAAATAAGATTAGCATTCTTAATAATAAAACTAGTCTTGAACTGATACAAGCTTTTTTGAACGAGAGACTATTTTATATGATTTTATATTCAAATCTTTGTGACCACGTCGCGTCGCACTACTAAATAATATTACGGTGTTACAGTTACTTTATGTTTTCTTTTCGTCGTTGTCTGCCACTTTCATTTCACGGTTTAATAAGTTTTTCTGAAAGCAATAAAAATAGAGGACAGCTCTCACCTTCCCGTTGTAATCAATTTGATAGGTTCCATTGGCGATGTGATTGCAGTCGCTCGTTGGGAGCTTTAAGGAAAACATGGTTCACAAACGTCGCAGTTTTCCTTTTAAATGTTGCTGGTTATTGGCAATATTCATTGCCCTCAGGCAGGGAACTTTATCTCAAGAATTTTGCGAAAAAAATACACAAGACGAAAACTGCAAAGAACAATTCCTGTATTCTAAAGGTAAAATAAGTACATTTTTATTTATTTTTTTCCTTGTTCTGCCTTGCGATGTTATTTACTCGTGTGTAATTTGTGCAAAACTGTACTTCATTAAATCAGAATTATATCTTCATTGTATAACCCTGTATAATTTTAGGCTTTGTTAAGAGTGATCGATGTCCATACAATGATACTAACCAAAAAGAATGCACAGGATGGAATCGAATCAAACCACAGTACCATTTAATGTAGGCATGAATAGAATTACTATCGATATTATAATAAATAATTAGGCAATTATTTCAATATTTTATTAACGCATTCGCTTAAATAAGGTTTGTGTTAAATAAAATCTTTTGATTTTTATCTCCTCTACATATTCTGTGATCAGGTTTATGATGTCCATGTTTTAATTTTCTGTTTTAATCATTTACCAAAGCGAATAATAATATAACTTTAAGTTAAGTACTTATATATGTACATAACATGATCGAGATACCTAGGTACTTATTTATTTCATTACATTTGTTACATCTATCTGATTTATTGACAAAGACTGTTTAATCTGTGTATGTATGGGTGTGGACATTGTGGACTAATGCAACTTACTGCTCTACACTCGTGATTTCTAACAGATTCTGATTTCTAAGTTATGTGATGTTCGTAATTAATAATCAAATAAATACTTACGCATACGTACCTACGTGGCTACATACTGGTATTAATTCCGTTTTTAGTAATTAAGATTCTTTACCTTAAGAGTCCTCGGAACCCGTGCCTCATACTCAGGGGCCCCGAAACACCGATATACTTAGAGCAAATTTCTGTGTGCCCACAAATTGTTGTTTCTGGTCTGGGTGTCATGTGTATGTGGACTTGTATGTTTGTAAATGCAGGAGAAAAAAGAATAATCACCCGAACATAGCACCTATCTCCTTCTTTTTTGAAATCGGTAAAACGCCTACTATGGGGTACCTAACTAAAAAAACAAAAAAACATTCCAAAAATTTTTAATTATTGTGTGCTCAATGGCCCCTGCGTAGTCTATGGTCCTGTCTGACACTCCCCCTCGCCTCACTTAAGGCGGGTTATTGGAATTGGAAGTCATTGGATAATTATCTTTCACAAAAAATCCCCGTTTCCAAGTTTACTCAATCAGCCAGACCAGACAAAACGAACAAAAAGTTATCAACGTGTGACTAAATGACAGCGGTTAATCCCCTTGATTTCTACCATATTTTGAAAAACACTGACCAAGTGTAGTGTGTGTGTGTGTGTAAATAAATATACGTAATTTAATTACCTAGCTATGTCTGCAACTGTCTAAGACGACTGGAAGTCAGAACATAAAAGCGGTACAGATATCAGTTAAGTACTTAAGCAGTTAGGTACCTAATTTTCCATAATCGGTCTGTCGCCACTCGCCAAATAGTACCTAGGTAAACAGTAGTATTTCAAGTATTTCTAGATTTATTACATCTAAAGTTTCTTTGGTATTGGGTAATGATTAACTAAATATCTTCACGCTATAATGCCTGCCTCGTTGGCCGAGAGGTTGCAAGTGTGACTGCCGGATAAGGGGTCTCGGGTTCAATTCCCGGGTCGGGCAAAGTACTACTGAGTCAGTAGTAGCACGGAGCCTGGCGATGTGCCCGGTATATGGCAATAGGCTCACCCCCTTTTACATGGGACTCATGACATAAATAGTGCAAAGTGGGTGTTACATTGTACAGTGGTGTAGCCGCACCGCACGACTACATACCTACCAGTTACCTAACTATACCTAATCTGATATTGTCTAGTTGTAAATATGTAAATAGAAATATACCTAAGTAGCGTAGTTTGGCGAAATAAATCATTCTGGTCCACACCTCTTATCGGAGTTTCACTACTACTGGAAGAAAAGAAGAAACCTCCTCTAGGACACTAGGCTCTCCTACCTACTACCTAGCTCATAAAGTGGCATTAAGTGCCGTAATGTACACCTCTGCCTAACCCTTTGGGGATAAAAGGCGTGAAGTTATGTTATGTAGGTATATATACCTATCTATACCTAAATAGATTCGAGGTTATTTTTACTAGCTCAAAGAAGATACTTAATACCATTGTGATAAACATAACGTTAACTCAATGCTTAATAGTATACATAATTTTACTAGTTGACTAACTGATTTGGAGTACATAATAATGTCATTGGAAATGAGAAAATAAATAATAATAATGAATAATAAAAAAACACTCAACACAGCAACACAAATAGTCTTGTCAAACAGTCGATAACTCAGTTATCGATAAAAATCAATATGTCAACCGGCAAAAGCATAAATTAGTTTTCGATACACGTTTCTGGAATGCTGATCATCGTAAAAAAATTGTAATCGACTGTCAGATTTCTTGTCGGGAACTATTTGCGTTGCTAAAAGAATGTTTGATATTTGAACTTACTAAAGTTGTAGTGATTATAAAATAAAGTATAAAATAAAACGATTGAATTATCTAAAATACAAAGTCGAGTTACCTATTATTATAACTACAAAGATAAAAATTTGGTAGAAAAGACCTTACCTTCGCCTGCTTACAAACCACCACTTCCTCACAACTCAGCTGTCGCGAAGGACACTCCGGCGTCGGAGATCTCGAGATAATCTTTGACCACCGTAGGCACGGGTCTGTGGACGACGAACACGGGTAGGTCTCCGCCCGACCAGAACCAGACCCGAGAATATGGCACGTCGCTTTCCTTGCGCGCTTCAAAGAGTAATCAGACTACCACAGATCGGGCCCAGTAAGGCTGATGCCGATACGGACGGTACAGACCCGCGGAGCACAGAACGTGTTGCCGTAGCTCTAGTTCGAAGGGCAGGGGTAGGAAGGGGTGGTTTGTAGTCAGTACAGTCTGACTCCCTGTTTATTCATTGTTATTATGAGTATAACCTTAGTCGTCTGAGCAGCATGCCTTATCACCGTGCCGCGTGGCTGAGCTGTATGGAGCGTAACAGCTAAAAATTGTGTTTTTTACAAATTGTGTTCTTCTGCCGACTTAAGTTTCATTTCCGCTAAATAGCACAACGATAATTTTGTAGGACGACGATTAAGAATCAACTTTCATTAGCGAAGGTTTTATATCTACGACGTCTGTAATGTTTTATGGTAAGATTGTAGAAAAAAAAAACATTTAATAAGAAACTAAGTAATTCGTATTACAAAACCTGCAATCCTTTCTAAATTAAATATACTTTTGAACAATTAACAAATACTAATTCTAATACATTTGAAATTATACTATCGATATAATTTAAACTTGATATTATGTGCAACTCTAATGGAACCAACGCGGGCTACGCGCACCACTCACGATTCTCACGAAGTTCATGTTGGTTATTGTTTTTGTCGTCAACGTCAACTCGACGACTACTTGTCGGGTCGCGGTCGTCGTCTCGTCGTAGTTTTGCCATTGATCATTGTTGATTGTAGTTCAGTGCATGTGTAATATGATTTTGATGTACCTACTCGCATGGTGTGCAAATTGTTATGTATGATATTTAGATAATAAACTGATAGCGTCATTCTAACATAAAACCATATGCTTGTATCAAATGATCTCATACCAGGCCGGAACGTCGTGAGCTCAGGACGGTCGGTGTAGTGCAAGTTATCTCAGTTTCAACAGTAGGTACATACTAAAGCTTATCGCTTCGGAAGCGGGAACTCGTATCTGGAACAAGAGGAACGTTAAACGAGTGTTTATTTAGCCGCATTTTGTTTAACGACTAGTATTTTAGGCGCATGTCGACGGAAGCAGTGAACTCAGACTAGTCGTCATGCATCGAACTGAGAGACTAGTAGTGCTCTTGCAAGCTTTAAGTCTACTATTTCTTAATTGCCTGGTTGAAGGACGAGGTAAGCAATAAATAATTATAATTTAACGAAGTGTATGTAGAATAAGGCTAGCGAATTTAATGGCTGAGCTTTTTCGGGAGTTAGGACTTTGCTATTTCTCGACTGTTACTATTTTATTCTAATTAGATTTGCTCTGCGTTTAGTTCTATTTGATAATGATTTGTCTGTTGACTGAATTCGTATACTTTACTGCTCTGTAAATATATCAGACAGTGACTCATCCTTGGAAGTAATTAGATGGTTCCAGAAACAAATAATATTTTTTTAACTCATCGAGTACCGGTTTTGTAGACACAATTATAGAACAATAGGTTGCGGTCACCGGTGACCGCTTGGTGTTTGACAGTCTAAAGTCTTGATTTAAGCATGCTTAACACATATTGATATGTCCTATAAATAAATTCTGGGATAAATAAATTTCCTATAAACTAAATTAATACACACTAATTTCCTCTTATTGTACATATTATTTATCAGTACAGGTTTTATTATAGCTGTACTATTATAGAAAATATTACATATTGTGCCACCCAAAGAAAATAACCCTTTTTATGTTTGTTGCAGATGATGTAAAAGTTTTAACCGTTGCCACCGATGAGAATCATGGTTTGGAGAGATTTCTCAGGTCAGCTAAGGTGAATGGAATTGATGTTGAAGTGCTCGGCAGAGGAACAAAATGGACTGGAGGTGACATGAATCTACCTGGAGGAGGGCAAAAGATTAACTTGCTCAAAGAAAAGTTAAAAGACTTATCAAAATCAGGCGCAAATGATAAAATTATACTATTCACCGACAGGTCAGTGCATTCAAAATTACAGATACATAGTATATTACTCAAATATGTGATTTTAATTAATGTACCACCATTTCTAACTGTCTTCACTTTATTTCAGCTATGATGTCTTATTCCTAGCAAGCATTGATGATATATTGAAAAAGTTCCAGTCATTCCCTGAAACACGGGTATTATTTGCTGCAGAACAATTTTGCTGGCCAGATACTAAACTGGCTTCACAATATCCAAACACAGAAATTGCAAATCCTTATCTAAACTCTGGTGGATTTATAGGTAATATAGTGATTAAAAATAATTTAATGAATTAAGTGCAAATAATTTAGTCTAAACTGTGTTGTGTTGACTTTGTTAGAGCCATTATGTACTTTTGTTTGAATACCATCCCATTAAATAATAATAAATATTATACAATTTTCGAGCCTTGGTTAAAATGTAGTCCATGTACTAACAATGGCTTTTGTTAATATTTAACACAATGCTCTTCTCATAATAATGGTTGTGTACAAGAAGGTATCAAAATATTTATATGCATTCTTAATTCTCTGTGCAGGTTACTTGCCGGAGATACATGAAATAGTGAATTATAAACCAGTCAGTGATAAAGATGATGACCAGCTGTATTATACAAAGATTTATTTGGACAAGAAATTAAGGGAAACCCTCAAAATAAAGTTGGATCATAATTCTGCTATATTTCAAAATCTGAATGGAGCTCTATGTAAGTATAGTATACATGGAATAACTATAACTATAGCCCACATTCTTGTGGGAGAAAAGAAACCTGTTATTAGAGACCACACCATAAGATAGCTATGTTGCAAATTTGCAATTAATGTTGCAATCCTTTCAGTTTGATGTGAATGAGTAACGAACATAAACTCGCAAACTTTGGGCATTAAAATAATATTATAGTAAGATTTTGCGTAATTTAAAAACAAAACATGCTTTGTTTGAATTTAGAAGTTCAACAAACAAATGACAAGCTGGTCTTCAATGAACCATTATTTAGTTTGTATCATAATAAGTCAGCAACCATGTAAAGTGACACTTATTTATTTCTTTATACTTTCAGCTGATGTTCAATTGAAATCTAATACCACTACAGAAACTTGGCCATATATAGAGAATGTTGTTACCAAACAGCGACCACTTATAGTTCATGGAAATGGTCCATCCAAGCTTACTCTGAATCATTTTGGCAATTATTTAGCCAAAGCATGGTCTGCTACAGAGGGCTGTGCTTTATGTAATGAAAAACGAATTGAACTCAAGGTATAAATAACATAACTGTGTACTAAAATTATACTTGTTTAGCATTCGTTAGGTATATAAAATATAAATCTGTTTAATTAATTATGATATTATTCAGGAGGATAAGCTACCTACAGTGATGATGGCAGTATTTATAGAACAAGCGACACCATTTCTGGAAGAATTTTTAGATCAAGTACTTACAACTGATTATCCAAAGGAGAAGATTCATTTACTGCTGAGAAATAATGTGGAATATCATGAGACTGAAGTCGATGATTTCTTTCAAGCTCATGCCAAGGACTATGCTACTGCAAAACGTATCAAACCCAGTGATTTCATCTCTGAATCAGAAGCTAGGAATATTGCCAAGTAAGTACCTGATACTTTGCTAGCTTTATAATAATCATGTACCACACTCGCAATATTGATCAAGAATAAAATAGATAGCTGTGTGGTTGCCTTGGCATAGTGGCTGGGCATTCTTAGTATTAGTTAAAGGAGCCATGATTTATGCTATGTGGAGATCAATAGAGCTGCTTCATATGCCATAGTACTTATACATCTGACGAAAGCTTGGTTTACTATAGTAATAAGAATAAGTATTCTGTCTACTCTATTCGGTGAATAGAAGCGTGACGATATGATGTGTAAACAAATTGCGAGCGCCTAAATCGATAGGTCAAAGATATTTGTTTTATTTTAGTTTGTTTTTATTCACAGGGACCGTTGCATAAACAGTGCATGCGACTATTTGTTCTCAATAGACAGTTTGTCCCGTTTGGAAGCAAACACGTTGCGTCATCTATTATCTTCGGGTTATGACGTAATCGCCCCGTTGTTAGTGCGGCCCGGGCTCGCATGGTCCAACTTCTGGGGTGCTGTGAACTCCGCTGGCTTCTACGCTAGATCTTCCGACTACATGGATATTGTCTACCAAAACATCAAGTAAGTATTTCAAGTACTCACTAACTTATTATAGAGTTGAAATACTAATTCTGCCTGTTTAGTCAAGTAGTTAGAGTTAAGCGTGAATCTCTAGTAAGGAGTAGGAATATCATAGCTTTATGACAAATTTGGGTAAATCGATTTTCGGAAATCCTTAATAACGACCATAGACTCTCAAATTAGTCCTTTTCTATTACCTGTACTGGCTCTACTTTCCTCTACAGGGATTAAAGGCTTGATGTTAAAATATGATAGTTAATATCGACAAATAAAAATCATCAGTGTTAAAGTTTATTAGATAAAAACTTTAAATACATAAATATAATGTAAGAATAGAATGTTACCTGTTTTGAGTATGTAAAAGTAACAACTTAAATTAGGCCTATAATAATAAAATTAAAACACCTTCAAATAAGGAACATTACATTTAAATGACACGACAAATTTATTATAATGATAAGTGCCTATGTCACAATGTCTATGTGCAGAAACAATTGAATTAAGAACGTAATTTGTATGGACTTTTTGTCACATAAGTTCAGCAAGTAGGTATTTATGGAGATGGTGGAACAGGCGCTTAATCTCCCAAAATATGCTTAAACGAGACACATGAGAGTATACTTTTTAAAGTAAAAATACCAATGCCCGTTATTAAAGTATGGTTAATAGAATAATAATTCAGTCGAAGGCAATGGAAAAGTCTGTCTTGAAGGAGCGCCTATCAATGGAGTACATGTTGTCTGCCGTACACTCGTACACGCCGGCGTCCATTTGAGTGGCAGGGTCAATCTCAATCTTCGATTTCACACGGTCATCACCAATAGGCCACTCGTGAATCTAGACAAAAATATAAACGGGACACTTATTAATTTAGTACAATTTCGTATCTAGGTACGTCTAGTAATGTTCAGAAATTCTACGCTACCGTTGTAAATCTTTTTCTTCTATTAAAAGCGCTTACTTGATAATAATAATTCCGATACTATCTCCTCAATTGTAATTTAAACGATGTAAAATTGTTCTCAATCAGTATTATCAGTACATGCCTATAAAACTGAACTCAATGCGACCTATATAACGATTCCATTACATTCACCAATTGAACGTTTTTGCCTCGTGTCTCAAATAAATTTTAATGCTCGAAATAGGACAATGTCCAGTGAATTGTATGAGATTTAATCAACATGTACAGCGTTACCGAGCGCGTTGTTTGTTATAGGAATTATATTTGTTGCTGTCACGTAGTCCTCAATAAACTATCTATGCGGAAAAAAACAAGGCGTCGCGTTGCGATAAACTTTTATCTAAGTAGGTACAATGAGCCTTTGTTTTTTGTTGCAGAGTAGTGCACGATAATTAAAAATTCTTTGAAATGTTTTTTTTAATAATAACAACTGTAAATTCGCCAAGATTTATAATGAAATTAATAATTCTTTTAAAAAGCGACTGCAACCCTTTCCTTTTATTGAAGTCGCTTAATTAATATAAGAAAACCTCCTCCGTGTAACAAACACTGTTTTAAAACCGCATCACAACCGGTTTAGCCAATCTCGAGATAATTGCACACAAAACATACATATATACAGGTCAAAGTGAGGACATCCGTTTTTGAAGTCTGTTAAAAATAATATAGGTAACTGGCTTGCAATCGAATGTAAAGTAATGATTTCTTTGATTTGTTTCAATTCAACTTGATATTATCAAAATAAGTAAGTTGTGCATAGCGGAATATAATAACTTTAAACACAATATGATATTATTGGAAATATACCAAAGTCGCTTTGCTGATCAGAATTGTATAGTTTATGTACTCACGTGTAGGTAGTGATGGGCAAATATTTCCACTCCATCTTTAAACCATGTAATATGCGGCCGAGGTGACCCTTTGGCGATACATAAGAATGCAATCTTGTGTCCCAGTACATACTCAAGGTCAAAATGTGATGCAAGTAGAATTTTAGCACCCTGAAAAATTAGGTAATTGAATATTATGTTCATTAAAGTTCATATTTCGTAATATTTTGTAATAACTGGCTCAAAACTTACGTCGTTATTATTGTAATATTGATCTGATTCGGGATCCCTGTACTTCCCGGTGATGGGTAATCCGATTTGTACCTGGAAAATACATTTGTATTTAACGGCGCGTATATATTGCGGTGGAGCATTATCAATGCCTGAACTTTTTGGAAAAATGTGTAATTGAAAGTATCCGTGTAATATCTTAAATATGTTTGTAGTTACGGCTCCATTTTTATTTTGAGATCTTGCAAACTGTAAACGGCTAATTTACCTTGGATTTTGTTCTGCTTCTGGTGCGTCCACGTCGCGCATCGGTTGAACATATCCAAAATGAGTATAGTAGGAGTAAGCACAAATAGAAATTAGCTTTCATGAGTAACATTTGCGCGGTCAGGTGTAAATGGCACAGTTAAAATAAAGTTGAAAGACACGTGAGTATCCTGGTATGTCTTGCGCGGGACTCTGAGTGCAACTGGTGGTGTCGGTGATTCCTGTTGCGCCAATCTTTCAATTGGCTAATGACGAGGTGCTAGCAGGAGGGCCCTTGTCTCCCCTATGTGGCATACGGTACTCGTCACTTCCTTTCGCATTTCGTACGACGATACTTCAAATGATATTAATAAATTCAAACATAGGTCACGATAACGCCTGCCCTCAAAATTTCATACATCTCTTATTATTGATATATATTTCTTATATCTTGTTAAAATAGAAATCATTATAGGCACTTCTTTAATACAATCAATACGGGTTATCTTAGCGAGTTCAACTTTACGGAATAATGTTATTTAACTATTAAATGTATGCTGTTTTATCAATGTAGATAAATGACAAGAACCCTCTAATTGATTACAGGGGCGTGTGGAACGTGCCTTTCATCACGAACTGCTACCTAGCCAAGATGTCAGTGTTCAGACTGCCTGCTACTAAGTCAGTTACTTACACTAGAGACGGAATTGATCCCGATATGGCATTTTGTGCTAGTCTAAGAGAAGTTGTAAGTGAATTATCCATTGGGAATTTCCAAAATATACTTTAATATGTAGATAATTAACACAGACTTTTATTTTCAGGGTGTGTACATGCATGTTAGCAATGAATTAGATTTTGGGCATTTGGTTAATCCAGAAACATATGATATTAGCCGAACGAACCCAGATATGTATCAGCTCTTTGATAATAAAATGGAATGGACTACTCGCTATTTGCACGAAGATTATCATCTCAACTTCGATGAAGAAAGAAAGCATTTAATGGTTGGTATTGTTATAGTAATATTTGTTACTAATTGCTTTCCTCCCTAAAAATGTTTCTGTAACAATATAATAAAACATGTATAGATTGAAGATGAGATGTAAACTTTTATGTACATCTTGTTTGTTGCAGCCGTGTCCCGACGTTTACTGGTTCCCACTGATGTCCAAACGGTTTTGTTCAGAATGGATTGAAATTATGGAGGCATTTGGGCAATGGAGCGATGGATCCAACAATGTAAATATATTGTAGTAATACATGATTACAATGGATTATGTTTAGTATTTTTGAACCCATTTTGATACATTAGAACTACTATTAAATTATAGCGTTTTTGTGCAGGATAAACGCCTTGAGAGTGGATATGAAGCAGTTCCCACTCGCGACATCCATATGAATCAAGTTGGCTTGGAGAAACACTGGCTTCACATATTGAAGGAATTCGTGCGTCCACTTCAAGAGATGGTCTTTACCGGATATTATCACAATGTAAGATTAGATATTTTGAATTAAATTTTCTAAGGTCTCGAAATCTTAGCAATGAACTCGGCTTCCTGAATCCTTCGATACTGCATTGAAATTAAAATGATATTGCGTAATAGTACTGAACTTAATAAATAACAACAATTAAGTATATTTTGATGTTTGCAGCCCCCGGTATCGGTAATGAACTTCGTCGTGCGCTACAGACCAGATGAGCAGCCATCTCTTCGTCCACACCACGACTCCTCCACATACACTATCAATTTAGCACTCAACACACCCAGTAAGTTTACTTATTATCTGCGCATTATAATAATAAAATATAATTGCTAGAAATGACAAAAAATCCAATATTGCCTCGTTGATTAAATATGTATTTTAATTCATTAGTGCGATCGTACAATAGGCTCACTCCCAATTACGTCGGACACATAACATTAATAGTGAAAAGGTGATACATTGTACAGTGGCAACGTACACATCTACCTAACCCTTCGGGGCTAAAAGGCGTGATGTTATGTCGTTAGTACGACTATCGACCTAAGCGGGTTCGTTTGTCATTTAGAATAGTCTGGAATTGTGTTCTGTACACAGAAACCAACACTCCAGATCATTGTTACATTGCCAAAAACTGTGAAAATATTAATTTTTCACCAAGTTATCATCCCTATTGTAGTGGGTGGCGTGCTTTATTTCCTGACAAAGGCATGAGTTAATGTATGTATGTGAATTTTCAGATGTTGACTTCGAAGGTGGCGGCTGCCGTTTCATTCGGTACAACTGTTCGGTTCGCGACACTAAGCTTGGATGGCTATTGATGCACCCTGGCCGCCTGACGCATTACCACGAGGGATTGCTCGTCACCAAGGGCACAAGATACATTATGATTTCTTTTGTGGATCCGTGAACTACAGATAAGAAAATATTGAATTTGAATAATCGACTGTCAACAATCAATTCAAGTTATAGTATCTAAGTTAAATGTAGAATGTTACTTCGGAAGATGTATTCAGATAATTTACCTACTCTAATATTTTTATGAGATTTGTTCGTACAAATATATTAAAGTAATGACGCATTACTATATGCATAGAATCTCATACTGTAAATACGATTTCCTTTTTTACTGGTTGTCTTTTTTATGATTTTACTAATGTTTATTTTTTATATTGTATTGTATCATGCAAATAGAATTATGCCGATAGTATTAATGCAACAACAAACAATATAAACCAAAGATTCATAGTGTAAGTGCAAATAATAACGTCAAAACTATGAATGATACAAAATGCAAGTAAATTTATATACTTATAATTTGGGTTATTTTATTTCACAGTAATTGATTTGCGTTATATTACGAAGCACTCCTCCTCCGGTAACTCCTCTTGTGTTGTACCCGCATATGCGGCGTCGATTGCTTACCATCAGGTGATCCGTGTGCTCGTTTGCCGCTATAGTTCAGTGATTTGGTAGTTCTAATGGAATGTTTCGTGGGAGTTTTGAAAATCGGCCAATTTTCTAGATTTCTATGTGCTCTTTTCGAATTCCATTTGGCACCTTTGTACGTTTTTTACAATGCACAGGATAACTATTCAAATATGATTAACCCTCATATTTCCGCCTTAATTATCGGACTATCTATAATACAATAATAATATTATGTTGATAAAAAAATAGTAAAAACTACATAATAAAAAGAACAATGGAACCAAGTGCAAACATGGAGTAAGGAGGTATTGTTCTACGCAACGAGTTCTAGAGAGAAAAGTTAGATTCAAGTTTACTTTTTATCAAAGAGTTTATTAAGTCTATGGATCAAAGAGTATAAAATAAATATTTATATTGGAGAAAAGAGTTGCCATCTGAAAATTGAATCCTATACTCGGAATTTTAATTCGATTCCAGATTTGACAATTTCAGGGTTGCAACGTTATGACAAGTACTAAATAGTGACGTTGCGAAATTATTCGATATGGAAATGCAATATTTCTGAATCGATTCTTCTCGTTTATAATTTTACTCTCATATACTAAGTATATCAGGAAATTAAATATTTCTGAACCAATAATTTAGTTTTGACGATTAATTAACGTCTGAGACTTTTCTTTTATAATTTTCTTTTCTTTTGTGTGTGAAATAAATAAGAAAATGTAATCATGAAGGAACATGACAAATAAAACAGATAGATGTATTATGGTAACAAGTTATTTTATGAATTGTCGCCGTCATCGCTGTCGCTATCCTATCACTTTCTGTAACATTTATTATAAAACACACACACACACTGATTGTTTATCGATTTTTGTGTTTATCACTACACTATTATATGTGGTATCATTATTTCACAAAATGACAGTAGCCATTGTCAAATCTGGAATATAATGAAAATTCTGACTATAGTGTTTTTTTACCAAGCTCTACAGATAAAATACTAAGCATAGCTAATGCCAATGCTACCAACAATGTACCTTGTACGTTAGTACATTATTTATAGGTAGTATTGATATTAGCTATGTATCTGGTAGCTCTGAAATCAAAGAAGTTATAATTAACAATCTTACATTTATTTTACAGTAAACACAAATTAACTTTTAAAAATTATCAGCTGCTAGGAAGATATTACACAGAAACATAATTATTTTTCAAGATATTATTTTAATTTTAGTTCTTTTTATTTTGCATTTATAGTTTGTTAGTGCTCCATCCAAAAAGAACTAAAAGTAAAAATATTTACAGGTTACCGTTATTTACAATTTCTGCCTTTATTTTGACAATATAAATTACATACTGTAATATTTAACAATTTATTGACAAGGTCGATTAAAATAATTTATGAACAATATGATAGACCACAAGTAATAGTTTCTCTTCCCTAGGGAAAAATACAAAGCAAGACCATTATAAACTGGTTATGTTTTTATAACCTTGGTGATGGTTTGAAAAAAAAAATAATATTTTCAGATATACCTACTATAAATACCTGCTCTACCTTGCTACACATCATTCAACTATTTTAATCGATTCTGGTTTTGTACTCTATACATTATTGGGCATTGCGTAGTGACACATTATGTAATAATACAAAATAATCATCATCATCATCACTTGCCCACCGCTGAGCAAAGCCTCTTCTCACACGGAAAACGTTTGAGCATTAATCACCACGCTTGCTCAATGCGGGTTGGCGATTTCAAACTTAGGTATAATTATTTTTAAATTGTTGGTGCACTATGTCAATATAGAAGAAAGACTGCTAGATACTGCAGCTTGGCTAGCAGATGAAAACCAATTAAGTCTAACTGGGGGAAAATAAAAAAGATCGACGCGAAAATTAAAGGTTTGCGGAAGAGAGGAATGTCATTCAACTAGGACATTCCTCTCTTCCGCAAACGACTAATCTGCGACCGCAAACCTTTAATTTTCTCCACTAGTATATGTGAAAATACTGCATTCTAGGAAGTCGTTAAAAGTTTTAAAACACTTGCTTAGTTATTTTTACATAATGCAATTGCAATGTACGAAAAATCCGAACGGTAGGCGGTTTACCATGAACGAAAAAAATCTTGCGTTGCCACTGTACAAAAAAGTCCAAAGACTTATTTTTTAAAGTATAATAAAACTAAGCCCCGAAATTAATCCGCTTGTATTTGAGAAAAATAAAAAGATCATTGTGGAGAAAGGACCGCGTTTGTAGTCTCATATTCGACGAATTGTCTTTAGTTAAACACCTAATTATAAAAGTGACTTTCGAGGTCCAAAAATTTGGTTAAAATTATTGTAAACTCCGTTTGCGATCAAAGCTCCGTAAATGTAGCTGCTATGTCAGAGTTAGTTAATGACTCCAGAGCGCGATATTTGCGGTTAGGGCAAGAGTGGCACCTTGATATATACCTACACTGTAAACGACCAGAGCACTATACCTCTCTTCGATACTCCGCATATAATCAAAAGGGATTAAAAATAATTTATTAACTATGGACATGATATATACGTCCGGTATCAATAGATACCAACAGGTATACGCGGCGGATAAAAGTTATGGAGAACTTCGTTTACTTAATTAAAATTACGTAGGACCACGTTGTACCTGACAAAATCAGTAAAATGAGGGTTTTTTTTTTTTAGGGTGGTAAATCATCGAATGACTGCTCCCGCCTGGGTGAGGCGGGAGGGAGTGTCAGACTCTTACTGACTAAAAACCACCCCGTTCCTTCTCCTGCACGTCGAGCCGGAGCCCCGGTTACCCGTTAGGTTCTCCGCGACTCCGAATCGGCATCGGCCCTATTGGGCCCCATCTGTGGTGGTCTGATGGCTCTTTGAGGCGCGCACGGAACGCGACGCGCCGTACGCTAATGAGGGTTAAGTACGCTACTCAAATTTTCATATAGCGACTTAACTCAAAAATGGGTACATTTGATCATCTCTGTAAACAAACTACGCGAGATGGATACCACCATATTGCTTTGATATGTGTGCACTTTAGGTCATCATCAAGTAAAATTATTTTTTACTGAACAAAATAAATGAGGTTAGATAAAATTTAGTTTCATTACTTTTGTGTGAAAATATTACCTACAAACTTAAGTAGGTACATAAAACAGTTGCCTGGCCACATTAATACAAATAAATAAAATTGTAAATAAATATTTGAGTGGGAATTATATGTCACTAGAAAATAACAAGAACCGTAAATATAAAAATTTCCAAAGAAAATGACACTAGCCAAAAAATGACTTATTCAAATTGTTCAAAGAATAGAGAGTAACAAAGGCTAATGATCCCGCTACTGGTCGGCTCCTATTTTTATATTTTTAAGTATTATTTTTTAAGTAGTATTTAAATATGTCATTTTAGAGGATTTTAAATAAATATACCGAAATTGTAATTTTATGCTTCTTAATTTTTACCTTACGTTTGTTTTTAGTTTTTGGGTTTTTAAAAGTCAGTTCTCAAAAATTACAAAATGGCGAACAAAATCGAGGGTAGCAGCTAGTCCATGAATAAAATGTATTCAGTTAATTGAATTCATATTCTTTATTTAAAATTCATTTCCCGATGCAGTTAAACATTAGCCCATAAAAACAGTTTTCTATTTTCAGTCAAAGTTTTTGGATAGTTTTTACACATCGGGGTACATTATCAAAATTTTTACTCGGCTCCCTTTTTTCTCGTATGAAATATAGCGTAATTATGTTCATCAGAGATAATGTAGTATTCCAATAGAAAAAGAAATTTAGAAATCTGTCCATTAGTTTCGAATCCTATTCAATTCTACACAATTGGTTTAGTTCTATTCAAAATTTTTGCTAATTTAGCTGTTACAAAAGTCTTATTGACCAGTTTATTGACCTATTTGAAGAAAATAAGGGTGCGTCTAATAATGTGGCCGAGGACCGCCTGTCTCGAATGTTTCCTCTTTAATTAAAATTATGTTAGTAGGTATAGATTATGTTATAAATACATATTATTATGTAAGTGTTTGGATGATGGAATCTATTTGAATATTGTATTATATTTAATAAAGTAGGTACTATCTATACTTCTGAACCGACATTGTTTTATGCTTTCATTTATTTGCATTTTATTCTTTTAAGACTTATGTTTATTATAATACATTTGGGCTGAAATATTTGTTTCGTCTTCTCCGGTATATGTCAGCTTCCCGCTAAAATGCGATTAATAGATTTACACCAACTATGCAGTATAACAGTGACAGATAGGTGACTGTTAGGGTTATCTTTGAGTACAATTATACTACTGTACTGTTAGGGTTATATTACAATTTGGGCACATTGGTTTTCAATAACGATTGCGTCAAATTTTGGATTTCTCGAAAATAGTTTTGTGTTAACGTATTTGGATTTGCTTTGATCGCAAACGGAGTTTATAATAATTAAACCAGATTTTTGGACCTCGGAAATCACCGTTATAATTTTTTTAGGTATTTTTTTTGCACACCATTACATTTATAGATATTATGAGATTATTAATACATACAACTTAAATATAAACAATTTAAAACTAAAATATTTACACCTTAAAAATAATAATAATATCACCTTTTACACCTTAAAAATAATAATAATAACACCTTAAAATCTTTTACAATTAGGTGTTTAAGCTCCAAATTTCGTAACGTGTTTGTAAAATCATATGCTAACGGCTGTTTGAAATTGCGTTTCATACCTTTTATCGTAAAAACTAGACCGTCGTCGGCAAATTTGGCGGTTTTAGTAGTGGCAAATCCTTCAAAAACATATTTTTTTGTGTCATTAAATATCTGACGGGTTAACGACAATTCGTCGAATATGAGA